TCTGGGTCCCGTCCCCCACCCCTGGGTGGCAAGAACAACCCCGGCTTTGCTTAGACGCTGCAAAGCAAGGTGAGGAGCCCTGCCATGGACCTTCCTCCTGTGAGGAGGCAATGCCCGGAGCCTCTCCAGGAGCCCAGGTCCCTCATCCCACTGGTGCATGGCCCCTGCCCTTGCCTCTGCCAGGCTGGGACAGGGCAGAGCCTGCTCAGGGCAGAGGGCAGGCAGCCGCTGTTGGGAGGTAACTTGCTGCAGCATGGAGCAGTGGGAGCAGAGTGACCCATCTGTGGACAGCTCAGTGAAGGTATGGTTTTTCCCCTCCAGCAGAGCTACGACAGCCTGGGGCTGCAGCATACAAATCCTGATGTGGTGGCCCACGGAGATCACCCCTCTGCCCGGTGCAGCAGGGCTGGACTTGGGCTCCACCTGCCAAAACCAGCTGGAGTCTGCCCCGCTCCCTGCTTCACCCACTGCCGGCGAGGCAGCCGGGCTCCCGACAGTGACATTTCCTGCCAAGCTGGGTTATCGCAGCGGCACCACAGCAAGCGGCAGACGACGTGCCCTGCCTTTGCAGCTGTCAAATGGCTACCAGGAAGCCTTGCTGCTTGCTGCCCCAGGAGGGGCTCTCGGCCACTGGGGTGGATATATTTCCCTGCCGAGCAACCCAAGCTCCAGGGCACATTCCTGCAGAGTTGGTAATAAGGTGGGGACACGTTGTGCTGGACTCTGAAATGCTCGCAGGGGAAAGCTACCGAGTTTATTTAGTATTTCTTTCCTGCAACAAGAAAAAGGAAATTGTGCAGAGGGTGTGAGATGAGTAGTGGAAACTCACAGGCAGTAACGCTTAGTGTCGGATCATCAGCCACTCCGGCTGAAAGGAACTTCATGTCCTTTCAAAGACCCATCCTGGCACTCGAGGACACATCCTGGTGACTGGGTCCGGCAGGGATTGTGCTCACCTGTGTGCTGGTCCTGCACGCTGCATGCACTGCACAACTCTAAGCCTGGTGGCAGCGGCTGGTGCTTTCACAAGCTCTGTGGTGGTATTTCATCTTGTCCTCGTTCACTGCTCCTGTCACTGAACAGGGCAGTTGACACTGCACGCAGAGCCTGTCAGCTAAAATGCTGCTCCTCTGCACTCTGTGGAGAGCTCTTCTCTCCTAATACAGTGTGGTTTTGCTCTTGGAAAGAGAGCTCTGGATATTTGTTTATAATACTATATTTTCAAAACCAAAAGAGTTTCTGATACCTGCAAAATTTATATGTGGTCATCAAAAGTGGGTATGTTGCTAATGGGCTTCATCTCAGAAGGAAACGACCCCAAGGAAACATGCCAGAAGCAGACAATGCATACAGGGAGGCAGTGTGCATCTTTCACGGCAACGTGCACTTGGCATGAGAGTGCTGATACGGTGCCAGAACCAAGGGGAACAGCCCGCTGCCTGCCGACCAGCTTGCATGAAGTTATCCCCAGAAAACGTCATTTGGAAGAGCTGCTCCAGGATCCAGTGTCCTGATACAACAAGCTAAAGTACCATTAGTGCTAGTTAACAGCATCGCATGAGAATCAGTTCTAGTAAAAGCAGCTTTTTTTTTTTATTAGATTGCAAGTTTGGTTGACAAAAGCAAAGGCCCATTCAAGATGATTTTTTTTAACTTGGCCTTGCATGGCACTCAGTGTTGTCAGACTTTGTGTGCATACCCCGGGCTGGAAGAGTGGTAAGTAACACCAAGGACAGGGCAGTCAAACACCGCCAGGACCACCGACAGCAAAACACATCTTAATACCGGATTCAAAGTTATGCACTCGGAAACAGGCAGCAGTCCCAGGAGAGCAGGGGAACAGGGTCCCCAGGCTGGAAGGGATGCGAGGGGGAGGAGTGGACCTGTCAATGCAAAACAGACACGAGGCAGTTCAGGAGAGAGGAGGGGACTATTCTCACCCTTTCTCTGTTGCCTTGGTACTGGGAGCACTGAACCTGGATCCCCTTCTACTTTTCATGCTTTAAATGCAACAGCTGAAAATGGAGATGATGAGGAAGGGAACTCCCCAACTAATTAAGAGGTGGACAAGTGCAAGCCCGGCAGGAGGCCAGTCTACATGGTTGTTCTGGGCATTTCTGTGAATCTCAATAGCTTGAGGCCTAACCTGAGCATTTGAGGCAAAGCTGAAAAATGAGTAAATCTGGAGAGCGGCGAGGATGCACTGGCTGGCACAGACATAGTCACGTCCCAGCTTGGGGCAGTTAGAGGTGTCCTGACCCCAGTGGGAGTGCTTAAATCAGAAGGCAAAGCTTGTGTCACTGCTAGAGCTTCCACCCATCAGGTCTCTTTGTGTCTTTCACCACTGAACTTGGTATGTTTTTGTTGTTTGGTTCTCTGGGTTTTACGAAAGATCTTTTTTGCTGAACTTCGGTGACGTGCGTGTGCCCTATCAATGGCAGAGCCAACGCAGAGCTGAGCAGAGGAAGGATGAAGATTTCTGATGAGAGCTCCTCCCCAGCCCAAAACCTCCTGGGCTTTCATTTCCTCTAAGAACTTGGCTGCGGCAGGACAGCAAGCTTTGTTTGGCCGTTGCTACAGCCTTTGCAAGCGCTCCCCTTCCCTCCGTGACCAGACATCCTCACGGGCTGCTCTTCCCAAAGGCATGGACTGGCTGCCAGCCAACCTCATGAGCATGCTTTTATTTTGTTTTTAAAGTAAGTTCCCAGAAGCAGTCTCGCAGGCATAACTGGGGCTCTGTCTGGTCCATGAAGGGTCAGGTTCCTCGGTCCATCTTTGCAGCGGCTGGTGGAGAAGGGGGAAGGAGGGAGGACCACGGGTGGCGGAGGGAAGGAGACTGCTGCAGCCTCCACCCCAGCACAGATCTGTAGCATCACTGCAGGAGCCTCATCTCACCTTTCAGGTCACCCTGACGTGGCCTGACAGAGACAGAGCCTGGCTGTTCCCTGGTCCCCTGCTCCACACAGGCAGCCCACCAGTGCAGCCCACCCTGCTGAGGCAGGGCAGGGTAGAGCAGGGTCTCCCACCCCACACAGTGCTGTTGCTGCGGGGCTCCCTTGCGCTGGGGGAGTTTGGGTCCTGCTCAGCTCAGGTGGCTTCTGAGTCCCTTGGACACCCCGTGCTGTTGCTGTGGGGGACAAGGGTGATCCCGCAGCAGCTCAGGGTGTGTCCAGCTGTGGTGCCAGCTGTGGTCCCCCTGCACCTCTGGGTGTTTTGGAGCTTCCCCCCAGCAGGGCCCGGAGCAGCAGGACATCCTGGTTTGCGCAGCAGTCTGAGCGCTTGCACAACGCCCTGCCATGCTGGGAGCTTGGCTGGGGCTCCTGGTGGCTGCCAGGCACCCAGCTGCACAGCCTGCCTCTGCTCACCCTGGGGCACCATGCTGAAATGCATGCCAGGTGCTTCCCCCTATAATGGCTCTGAGAAATGCCATCTGCACCCTCTGGAGAAGAGGCAGGGAAGAGGTGACCCAGGCAAAGAAGCCCAGATCAGTGCTGGGGCTTTCCCTGGCTGGGGACATCCAGCCACCAGCATGGACAGAGGGTGGGTTCTGGCACCTTGCTGGCTGCCCCAATGCTGCGCAGCCCATTGCCTCGAGGTGCCCGAGTCCAGGCAAGCCAAAAGTCAGCATCTCGGCAGAGCAGCGTTGCTGCCATCCACCTTGCCCCTCCGTCAGTGCCCCATCTCCCCGTCTGATAAGGAGGTTGCTGTGTCTCGGCTCAGAGTCAGGCCTCACCAGCCCAACAGCAGAAGCATGACTTGAAGGTATCTCAGGGTCCATGCTAGCTCCTGGCTCTTGGAAAAGTTTGGCTGGTGCCCTCAACTGGTATGGCCCAGGGGACACAACCCTCAGCCTGTCCCTGCTGGCTCTCAAGACATGACACCACACCATGGGGTGGTCGCTGGTGCTCCTCACAGCATGGACATGGCCAAGGCCTACCACGGGCTGTTTGCCATAGACGGCATTTCATGAGAAGAGCCAGGAGAGCCAGCCTTCCCAGGGGAGCACCAATGTGGACTGGCCTCTTCTGCTTCTGCTTGGGCCCATGTTGTTCCTCAGCAGCCTTGTTGCAGGCTCAGGCGCCTCTTTGTGCTGGTGATGGACTTTGTGGCTCCGTTCCTATGTGTTTCACGCTGAACCCCAGCACCAGACTCGGTGTTTCAGGTCCTGTAGGTGTCTGTAGGTGTGAGGTTTGTGCAGGACATGGTGCAGATGCTCCAAGCTCACATCTGCACGGTGTGCAAGTGTGAGCAGTGTCTGTATGGAGGACAGGTTAACCATCAGCATGGGAGCTACAACTCGGGATTTACGGCTTAGCTGGGACCATGTGTGCAGCTTTGCTTGTCACTGGTGTCTCCCTGAGCACCCCACCAATTTGCATCACTGCGATGAGTGGTCTTCAGGCTGCCACAAATAATGGTGGTCATGATGTGAAGGTGGATAGGCCAGGTGAAGACCTGCCATGCTGTGGTTTCTACTGAAGGTCCCTGAGCCGAAAGGAGACTTGGGATGGCTGGATTCCTGGGTCTGTTTAGCCCCAACACAAGTGTGAAGGAGACTCTGCTAGGGAATGAGTCTGTCCACGGGATATATGTTTCCTGGCACTTCCTTTCCTCGAAGTTACTAAGTGAAAGCTCTCTGGCTTCTGCCATTCATCTGTTTGGAAGAAGGATGCTGTCTAATCCCAGATCTAACCTGGGACACGGAGTGGATTTCTAGTCTGCCTTTAGAGGAAATTCCCAACCTTGCCCACTTTCAGGTTTAACAGAAGCAGAGATACTTTGAGGAAAGAGCTTTAAGGACTTTCCAGATCTTTGCTGTGGTTAATTGCCTTTCCTCTACAGTTTATTTTATTTCTCATTTCCTTTGAGCTGATGTCACACATTTCCTCTTCTCTAGTGACTCTGCAGTCAAGCCACAGTTGCTGCCATTCTGGTGTTCTGTTCTTGAGAGCTGCCTGCGTGGAGACCTTCCAGCCCCAGGGCAGAGAAAATAACACTTGGAAGAAGTCCTCAGTAAAACATCCATCACTGCTCTATTAAAGCTGAAGATGGACATATCGTGCTGAATCCTTTCGACTGTGGTAAGCAGAAAATAAACTTTATTAGTACTATTCATCTTCAAATATACTTTTGCTGATGGTATGGCATGGCTTGCGTTAGCATGGTCTTTGCACCTTGCAGGCATGAGCCAGTAAATCCTTATTGGGAGAGCATGGCCCATGGGATAGAGCGTAGACTGGAAGCAGAGTCCGCACTTGCCCTGGTCATGCTCTGCTGTGCAGCTGGTTGCTTCCACCGCTAGTTCTGTATACAACGGAGTTGATGATATAAACCACTCGGGACTATTGGCTGGTGTACTAGTGTACAGCTGTTGCCAGGGGCTAGAGTTGCCAGGGATTTTGGTAATGCAGCGCAGCCTGCTGCAGCAGAGAACGGGACCCACACCCACCAGCCCACACCCTGACCACTGCGCCTGTCCTCCCTTCTGCTGGCACGGAGCATATTTATGTTTTATACAAAGGGGAACCGCTTCAACAGCAGGGGCTGAGTGGGATCACCCATACGGTACTCCAGAGTCTAGGGCTTAGGACATCTCACAAGTATACGGGAGATGCGAGCTCAAGTTCCTCAGGCTGAAGAGGAAAGTGGGTATTGAGTAAATTTAGTGGGGAATGGTGCCATGCTCTCTTCTAGCTGTGTTTTGTGGAATATCTGGCTTGACAAGCAAGAAGGGAAGAACAACTCTCTTGTGATTCCCTGAAGGACCTTGGCATTGGCACTGCACAGCCTACTAACGCAAAGACAGATTAGCTCTACCAAGTGCTGTTGGGGCCAGGAGACGGCACTGCCATCTCCCACAGCCCGCCTTTGCCAGAGATTTCTAGCAGACTTAACAATGTAGAGCACGTCCTTGCATTCATCTCTCCAGGTCAGAGTGCAGCCCCTTAGCTCAAACCCATCTTCTGTGCAGGGCTTTGCAGTGGAAGGGGACGTGCAGGTTGGCTCTCCCTTCCACCCCATCTGCTAAACCTGGCAGCTGATGGGCAGGCCTGGAGACCCCACCAGTAAAGTTCACCAGAGCTCCTGAGGAAAGGTTGGAGGCTGCCATGCCCATGTACAGCACCAGAAATGGAGGGGTAGATGGACAGTGCTCCGCAGCACAGCCTAAAGGGACTTTGTGAATAACAGTTGTGCCTATGTATTGGATGTGGGCACTTCTCTCCTCCTCATGAATTCCGCTAGTGGGATGCATCACCTTTTTTTTCCCCACCCCGACTCTTGGTATATTCAGGTCTGGTGCTACAGTGACAGAGCACCTTTCATTGCAAAGATTCCAGCCCCAAGCACCAGGACTATTTGCTGAAGTTGGCAGATAGTCAGAACAGCGGGTTTATGATGCAGATTTGAAAAAAACTTAAGTTCTCTAATGATCTTATGTAATTAGGACTTTTTTTTTTCTTATTCTAACATCAGAATAGTGTATCAAACACAAAGCTCCCCACTAGTTTCTCTTGCCCCTGCACAGCCTCGCCCCGACCCTGAATGTCTGCATCTGCTATGTGCCCTCCCGAGCTGAGAGATGCAAACCCTTCCAACTGGCATAGGTTCTTACCAGAGATGGTCCCCTCAGTGGGTGGGAGAGCTGGGCTTAGACACGGATATTTATTTAAGGCCATGTTGTGACAATTACCACTTTTCAAACATAGATGAGGGTGTGGAAACAGATCCATGAGATGACCAGTAGGACTTGCCTTGCGTCCTGCATGAATCAAAGGTAGAACAGGGAACAGAGCATGGGGCCCTGTCTGCTCTGGGACCTCTCCGCAGGGCAGCAGGGAGCGACACGTTGCTCCTCAGGGATGTGCCAGACCTCTGTGGCCAGACGCCGAGGTGCCATAGCCCAGACCACCCTCACCTCCCAGCTACCACCACCTGAATCAGCTACTACCCTTTAGAGATCAGTGGGTTCTCAGCGGGGTGGCAGAGATCAAGGTGAAAGAGGACAGATACATGTGTCACCTGGCCAACTACTAGTACTGCCACAGCTACTTGTTAATTCACGTGGAACGTGGCTGAAAGATCAAGTTTAAAGACACTCAAACCCCAGTGCTGCCCAGCACGCAGCAGCCCGTGAAGGTCCAAGGACAAGTTGTGGATATCCGTAGTTGTCATGTCCTTAGGGGACCTGTGAGGGGTGAGGAGGGACAGGCTCGGGAAGATGACTATTGCCTTCCTCTCCTAACAACTGGAAAGAAGTACCAAGGGGTTTGCAGAGTTTTCTGAAGGAAGGGAGAGCTTTCTTGAGCTAGAGCTGACTTCCCCATTTGCAGAGGAAAATTGCAAATGTGCAATTGTGTAAATGAGGAACCAACAGCACATGGGCACAAAGAGAGACTCAACCCAGAGAGGGTAAGATGTTCATGCCACTACCTGCTACTGGGGAAGATCCAGAAAGTTTCAAGGCAGGCGGGTGCCTTCTCGGGAGGCAGCAGTCTTTGGGGGAAAATGCTTGCTGTCTGTAGGAGAGCTGAGGCAAGCACATTACAATGTGCAGCACCCGGCATTCCCATCATAAAACGCACAAGAACTTTAGGTTTCGTGACTGGTGGTACAGTTTACTCACTCTGAAGAAAAACCACCATGTGCTGCAATTAGGTAAAAACCCAGCAAGTTTACCATCAGTGAGCGACCTAGTTCCTTGCCGGTGACTCTCAAACTGCTTCACCTGCAGTAGTCAGTTATCTTCCCATGAAGAAAGAGGGAGAGAAAAACAATCGATCAGATCTGTGGGATTGTGTCACGGAGATGGGAGTGCCTGCCCAGCGTCAGACAGGGAGTTGGCGCCAGAGCCAAGAACAGGCGTGTGCATCCCCTGGGTGGTAAAAGCAGCGGGTTAAAGTATACAAGGGATTAGACTGAATCCATGTAAATCTGAGACAAGAACACGTACAGTATTGATGATGCAGGAATTTGGTATGTCCAAACTGTAGGCAAGATTTGAAGAAATACTAACTGAGGTGGGGACTGGTAATATTAAAAACCTGAAGGTGTCTCTTTAGGGACAGTGTTTGTCAGCAGTGTCACCAGTGACACACGGAAGTACAGAACTGCTGCTGCTGACACTTGCATTTGGTGCAGAAATAGGAAAGGCAGGGGGGGAAAGGGAGCCATATTGGTTTGATGACAACTTGAATTCAAAATGATGGCATGACAGACAACAGACAAGATTTTAAGAGAGGTAAACTGTAGTTAAAATCAACAAAGCATCTCCCTTTAGGATTAGTGACTCATCTTTTACATCATTCACTAAGTAAAAAAATTGGGAGCTCTGGTAGCCTATGAGGTGAATGTGAGATCCTATGGTGCCTGCAACTAAGAAAACAAATACGATCTTTACAAGTGTAAGAAGTAAAATGTCAGAAAACAATAAGTAGAGGGTGACTGGAAATGGCACTAATGAGACATTTTTACCAGATACTGTTTCACTTCTGGAATTTCTAGGTAAAAATAAATGTAGGCAAGTTAGAAAGCATTAGGAACCACAGGGGGAAAAAAAGAGACCCAGAAAACCTGTTTACTTATAGTAAAAGAATAGGATTAGCTTGAGACAGTACAGAGTAACAGATGATTGTATCTAAGAACCCTCACGCAGAAAAGTCTTTTGAGATTAGAGATTAGTGATCTCAGATCCACACTGCAGCAAACAACGCTGGATGAAGACACAAAGGCTAGTATGGTGTGGAAATGGTACCAAAGAGAGGACCAAGGGGACAGGGCAGGTGTCTGTAGCTGGAGCCAAGGCATGGAGCAGAACTCCTGCAGTAAGACAGCTGAAAATGAAAGGTGGGTTTTGGCTTAGCAATGGCACCATACCAATCAGCTCGTTTTATGCTTTATATTTTTAGGTAAGAAGAAAAGCTACGGTAGGAAATTCTGCTTCAGACGTGCCCACTCAGCACCACGATGTCTGGAAAGGGTAAAGATGGTGCTGAAGGTAATGCCAATTCCTACATTTCATGCCACATCATAGACTCTGAGTTTCGCTACAACCTCTTCACTGTTTTCTACAGCATCATTTTCATTCTGGGCTTTGTTGCCAACTGCTATGTGCTCTGGATTTTCAGCCGTATTTACCCCACCAAGAAACTCAATGAAATCAAGATATTCATGGTGAACCTGACAGTAGCTGACCTGCTCTTCTTGGTTACGATGCCAATGTGGATTGTTTACTATCACCACCATGGAGACTGGATCATGCCTCCATTCCTCTGTAATGTGGCTGGCTGTTTATTTTTCGTTAACACCTACTCTTCTGTTGCCTTTCTGATGATCATCACATACAACCGTTACCAAGCTGTGACTAATCCCATTAAAGCTGCTCAGCTTACCACCCAGAGAAGGGGTATCTACTTATCAGCAGCTATCTGGATCATAATAGTGGGCAGCTCTTTGTATTACCTTTTTGAGAATAATATTAATCAGGAGGAGATGAATTCGAAGAATTTCACACGGTGCTTTGAGCGCTATAACTCTTCTAGCAGTGTTTCAGCTGTTCTCACCATTCATGTCATCATCTGCATCTTGTTCTATATAATTTTCCTTTTTATACTAGGCTGGAACATCATCATTATCAGGACCCTGTTCTCCAAATCAGTGCAGCCACGCAAGAGTGCTCATGTCAAGCAAAGGGCGCTTTGGATGGTTTGCACAGTGCTGGCTGTGTTCATCATAAGCTTTGTACCTCATCACATAGTGCACCTGCCCTGGACCCTGACTGTTCTGGAGCAGTGGATGAAGGAAAACTGTCAGTTACGCCAACAACTCAATGATGCTCACCAGGTGACTTTGTGCCTCTTGAGTACGAACTGTGTGTTGGACCCAATCATCTACTGCTTCCTCACCAAGAAGTTCCAGAAGCATGTTTCAGAAAACCTGAAAAGCATGAAAGGGAGCCGCAAGTGCTCCAGGCACACCACGGACACAGTGATTGAGGGCACCATTCACCAAGAGGATGTCATCAGGATCTAGGTCAGCTCTGTTCTGATTGCAGACTGAGATGCGTGAATTAGTCACTCATCTTTTCTAAAGAAGAGGCACTGAGGGACACAACAGAGGACCAGGATATTACATTTCCCTTTTCCCATTAGAAAGAAGAACCGACGCTCATTTCTTGTATCACATGCAACTGGCAGAACTGGAACCTGTAATAATCTGGCAGAAAAGCACCTTCTGTCTGGGCTGGTGTTCTCACGGGCACTGAGAACAGCTCAGACAATCTGCTTTTACATGAAAGAAATGCGTCATTGAGTCTCTGCAGTGAGCTGCTAGAAGCTAAGTGCACTGAAGTCACCCATTGTGTCAGCCCAGATAGCACCATCCCTGGGCCTTTGCCTGCCCAGCTCCCACGAAGAATCCAGTATCAGAGCTGTAAGAGACTTCTAAAAGACCTGGAAGAACAGACTGAGTTGCTAGCATCATCAAGTGACTTTTCTAAGAAGCTTTCATGGTTCTGTGAAGAGAGTCTGACCTGAAGAAGCTCTTGAGTGGCTAGAAGGGACATAGTCCAAGGAGTTCCTCAAATACCATCAGAGATCTGCACCTCTGATCCCTTCTTACCGACTCGCATGGTCTGCTGGGGTCCATACTTGACATGTCTGGGAGTAGCTATTACGAACTTTTGCCTTTGCTCCCAGCCCTTGAATCAGTCAAGTAACTGGACTAGTAAGCAAAAAAAGGAAGAGAAATTGGCAGTGTCTCAGTCCCCATCCCCAGATCAGCAATATGTCCAAAGGGGACTAATGTCTGCCCTGGGTTCTTGTATGACAGCAGAACTGGCAAACCAGTGGCCTCTTGCACTCAGTTTAGTCATTTTTTACTGACTGCATGTGTCTGTGGAAGTCCAGTATCACTTTGGAGGCTCCAGATCACAGAATATTAGTCAGCATGGGCATTACGATAAGAAGAAAAAAGCTTGAAATGCTTCAGTATCTTTGTTCTTATTTATTTAAATTAGGGTTGTAGCAAGCAACTGTACATTATTCCTTCCCCCAGCCTTTCTATTTCTGCTACAAAGAAATGAAGCTGACTAGTTCCTGATATCCTACCACAAGTGAATTATTAGGTCAGGTCATGTCCACTTTCTGGGTACATCAATGCTGCACGGTGATACAGTACACTCAACAGACACATAATTGACATGCTCCAACAAGACTGGAGACTCCTCTCTCAGGGCTGGCTGCAGTCAGTTGGGGCCCAGGGCAAAGTGATTTTCCAGGGGTGCTGAGTTCTGTTACCAGTCATGAGACACTTGAGGTTCCTTTTCTGACCCAAATTGCTCAATCCAGCACAGGAAATTGGGCAGGGAAGGGAACTTACTTGTTTTCACAACAGTTTTTGGTTCCCTAATCTACATAAGAGAGTCCGGTTGATGACAAGAAAAGTGTATCTGGCCTGTGACACTGATTATTCATATGCAAGGACAGCAGCCTCCCTACACCCACCAGAGAATGTGAAAGCTCAAGTCTTTCCAAAGATAGGACCAACGCTTGTATCAGACTTTGCCTATATTCACTGGAGATACAGGTCCTTCAGATGTATCTCCTGAAGATCCTCAGGCAGCTTTTGTGCTTAGTTGTGCGAACGAGCAAAAGAACTAAGACGTTTCTTTTCCTAATGCCATCTGCCAGGGCCAGCCATGCACTCCAGGCCCAGTGCCAGGCAGGGGAAAGAATCTGATCACAACATGAATGCATTTCCCTCCTGGTCCTGGACTCCGCTCCAGTAATGGCTACCCACAAAAAACACCTGCTGGCACCTCTTAGCAGAGAGACGATTCCCTCACTATGTCCCTCAGCCATGTTCAAAGCTTTGCCCTGAATTTGCAGTCATTCGAGCCGCAGCACACAGCCAGGTGGGCGATTTCTGTCATTTAAAAGCCTAAATCCCACTTGTTGGAGGAATCTGCCTCTGTATTTTTGCCCTCCCCAGATAGCATGTTCTGGCTGAGGAGCTCTTGCAGTTGGCAGACGGAGTGGAACTTTCCTCTTTCCCCCATGCCATCTGATGGGATAGTGGAACTCTCTTGCTTCACAGCCCCTAAAGCACCGAACAGATGGAGTTTGGCAGCTCTTAGAGGAAACGGAAAGAGATTTTACGTGGAGATCTGGTAAATGCGTGATCTTCTGCTGATTCCTGGAAAGCTTGCAACAGAGTTTATGGTTTAGGCTACTTACTGTGGATAAATAACATGCTTTACTCCACAGAAAACAGCTGTAAGCCCAGCGTGGGCTCAGAGGACAAATGTAAACTTGCATCTGAGGAAAAGGGTAAGCAGAGGAAAAAGCCCCGAGGACACTTTGGGAGGGTATGTTGCAGTAATTAAGTCAGTAACGATGCGTTTCTAACAGTCTGAGCTTCTACTTCTGTTCCTGAAACTACTTTCTCGGTTTTACCACAATGTTGCATTACTCTGCTTTACTTTGCAATAAAATGGATCCTCAAAAGTTCTTTTAAATAAAGCATGTTCCCCAAGTGTTTTTCCCTTCAGCTTCTCCCACGTTCTCGTCTCTCTGTATTTACACTCAAGGGAAAAGCCTGGGTACCAGGCTGACACAGCTTGGTTCGGCTGTTGCGTTACTTTTTTTAAAATCACCAGGTGAACCCTTGGGAGAGGGTGAAATTAAAGGCTCAGCAGGTTTTGACCTGCTAAAAGGGAAGGGGAAAGAAGTACTTTCACAGGGGAAACAGCTTCTGAAAAATCTGGCAGGGCTCTCCAGAACCCAACCAGCCAGAACCCCCGAACCCTCTGACCCGCACACGCGGGACGTTTTCTACAGACCCCCCGTCGCGCGGCCTGGGCACCCCGGCGGCGGAGCGACGAACTGCTGTGCAGGACTCGCACTGCGAGGCCTACAGCGGTAAGATGGCAGAGCAGAGAGACCGCCCCAGAAACCTAACAAGAGCCGAGCCCAAAAGGGAGGCAGCAGCGGCGGCGGCTCCCGGCCAGGCGGGGCGGCTGAAG